CAGGAGTTGGAAGGGACCTCGAAAGCTCACCCAGTCCAACCCCTGCCAGAGCAGGATCACCAGACCAGGTCACACAGGAACACGTCCAGGCGGGTTTTGAATGTCTGCAGAGAAGGAGACTCCACAACCTCTCTGGGCAGCCTGGGCCATGCTCTGTCACCCTCACAGTAAAAAAGTTTTTCCTTATCTTCAGGTTGAAACATTCAAAGACACTACAAAATAAGCAGCAAACCAGGAAACAACATAGGCTGCACATTTAAAATGCTTTGCCCCAGAAACGCTTTCACAAGCCACGTGCCTGGAGAAGAGGCCAACACCACATCCATGAAAACCCCCGAGTATCACAACTTGGAGATCATTCCCAGAGCAGGAAGGTGTATGCACAGCTCCTGAATGGTCTCATTTGATGCAAAAAAATTGAAGCTGGGGAAAAAACTAAAATGATTTCTAGTGTCTGTGGCTTGGTTTGTTCAGTTTTTGTTGGTTTGTTTTGTTGTTTTTTTTCCTTCAAATTGTAGCCCTTGTAACTTTCAATGAGAAAACAATGGAAGAACCTGTTGAAGTCTGGTTTGAAATATTTCTCCTTATTTTCAGCAGTGAGAATACATTTAATTCTCTTAAGAGGATAAAGGGACAGAGCTAGAAAGTTCAGGGAGAAGAGCAAAATACACACACCCCCAACTATTATTACTCCCTCCTTGCCTGACCAACACTGAACTCTTGGTCTATGACAACCACAGGGGCAGCTTCACAAGTGGAATGAAAATAATTTCATCCACTCTGCACTCCAGGTTAACACTTTTCCTCCCCACTTTCAAAAAAAACCTAAACGTGATGACACAACTAAATCTTCTGTAGCAATACAGGAAATCTGAAGAACTCCCACACTAAACAGTAAATCTACATAAAATTCCTGTTCTTCTTTCCTCTATTATTAGAGAGCCCTCTTTTCATTAACACCTGATTTTACTCTGCAGAAGTTTACTCTAATATTAATATTTATCCAACAACGAACCTTCCTCTGAATAACTCTGGACCACCTAAGACAGATGGAAATTTTGAGTCTACACAGTGAGCATAAAAGGAAATGGGTACTATTGTCTGAACAACTCTGTTTTTTAGTAATAGAGCGTTCCACTCATGAAGAAATTCTTTGGGCTAAGCTGATGAAGTGGAAGTTCAACGTGTCCTAGCAGAAGTGGGGGTCAGGAAACTTAGAGGCAGTTTGGAAGGCAAGAGGTTAAAGATATGAATGTGTCTGTCTTTCAAATTTAAGGCAGTCCCTAGTGCAGTTCACTCTCCTCCCACTGAGGACTTCTTTTTCCAGGGCTCCTTACAACACCCTCTGCACCACCAGAGTGCCTGCTGTCACAGACACACACCTGATACAAACACGGTAACCCCAGGCTTGACCCACGGCTGCAAAGTCAGTTCAGTTTTCGCAGCTGGAATAAAGATCCCTGTGGCATTGGTAAATCAATCTATCCCTGGATAAGGACTTCAAGCAGTTGCATTATTTATGATGGTTTCACTTATTTACAGCAGGGCTATCTGCACCTACCGATGCTGTGAGCATCTTACAGTGCCTTGGACAGAGGACCTTTAGGGCAGGTAAAGAAGAGTATGTATGAATGGCTTCTGTTCCACGTAGCGGAAAGAATCCACTAGTGTCCTTTGCCCAAAGACACATTAACGTATTACACAGAGGAGGAAAAGCAGCACCATCAAGAATTGTATTGGCCTGGTTTTGAACACACGTGAAGAGCAGGATTCAGGGCAAATTCCAATCTCAGTATCTTCAAAAACCCAATTAACGGGACATCCTCTAAGGAAGGCATTGATGCAGAAGAACCGCAGCTACTAAACTCCTCTTTTATCTTTTGAACTCCAACACACATCCTTGTTTTCCTTGCCATTTAAAGAAGAAAATTACCACATTAATAAAAAACAAAACCACTTCACTGAAAAAGCCATGTGGGCTTGCTTAAAAATAGCCCCAGCTAACAAAGTATGCTCTGACCTCTGCTTACTCAGACAGCAGAGTTACCTGTGTCCAGAAAGGGGAACAAGGGAATACTCCCTAGTGCTTCTGACACCAGAAACTTCTTCATCCGTTCACTGAGGTCTAAAGCCATGGTTAAAAGCAAGAACTCCCATTAGAATATTATTACTAAAAAAAGGTTAAAAAAATCTCACACCCTGAAATCGATATGAAATTCCCGTTGTCTTTTCATCCACCCTGTGGTGGAAGTGGCCGTGCTGCGATCCTCCAGCTGCCCAGCAGAGCCGCGCTGTTCCAGCTGCACCCTCGGCACAGACACTCGGCTCAAAGGGAAGAACAAAGCTTTTACACCTTCGTGAGCACTGCCCAGGCTCCTGCTCAGAGCCTCCATCTGCTGACAACACAAACCCAACCCCATTAGGCCAGCCTGAGAAATCCTCTCCAGCACCAGTTGCTGCTTTTTATGCTGAGCTTCTGATACAGCAGTGCTGTACAGATCACGTTATTATGGAAATCATGCACGTCACAGCAGTCTGATAGAGAAATAACGTATGTGAAAGGCTATGACTCCCAAATCTTCTACAGAAGCTTCACAACTGTCCTGTTAATCTGGAAATGTTGATGTCATCTCAAGGCATCCACACGTAACCCTTCCATTACAAACCTACCGACAAAATAACCAAGAGGAAATACTTTTACGAGTTATGATTTTTTTAAACATTTGCATACATAAAGCTGTATTTGCCTCCTACAGTGCCACACACTAACAACGTACTGCTCCAAACTCCAACAGCATCCCTTTACAGCACAGAAATAAAGTTACTTCATGCTGATGCTGGTTAAAGCAGCAATGAGATGACACATCATTCAACTGGCATTACAGCTCATGAATTACTGCACATTGTACCTGTATCCAGTTGTATCACTTAAGGAAATCCATGCAGAGAAAAGTCTATCCTGAAATTAAAGCACTAATAATCCATACTGATAAAGAAACAGAGATGCACTCATGGTCTTTCTTGTTTTTTCATTTTTCACTAAAGAAGCCATTGATGTTCCCCATGATGTGAAAACCATCACCGTAACAAGAACTGCCCCATCTCCCCTTTGCTTTAGCACAATTTTGTTATTCTACCTGCAGCTCTTCAGGGTTGGCACAGGCCCCTTCAGCTGAAAGATCAACAGCAACTTGTGTAGAGAACTCCAAAATGCACCACGAGATCGAGTCCCCCATCTCCACAAAGTTTCAAGGCTTTGCTGGCGACAGCCTCAGGACCAGGCACTGAGTTTTGTCGTCCCAACACACCAGTGGACAACAGAGCACCACCTGCAGGGCGCTCCTTCTAGTCTGCGTGGTTTTTTGGTTTTCCTCTTCGTTTACCTGACATCGCCTTCGTTCTGCAGTCACTCGGAGGAGTGTTTTATTACATGTTAAAAGACAAGATATGTATTGAAAGTAGCAATTTTATTTGAGTTAAAATTATTTACAAAAACCCAAAGACATACTTCATGAAACTGGTACAAACTATTTTTCCTGCCGTTGGCTTTTGCTCCAAAGATCACAGCTGAGAAATACTGTATAAAATAAAAATAGGATTGGATTCAGAAAAGTACTCTACTGTTCTAATTTCCAATTGAGAGTATTTACACAAGTATTTACAATGGAAAAAAAGTTACTTTAAAACTTTAATTTGCAAGTTGGCCTCAAGTACCCTTTAATGCAGAGTTATTTGAGGGTCTAACACACAAAAATGCACTGCAGTTCACAGGGTGATTTCTCCCCCCACCCTCAAAGAAAAAAAACCTGCATTTGTCAGTGCCTGACAATCAGTTACATGTAAAAAAACCTGTTAAACACTGAGGTAAAGCAATTCCCAAACAGTTACCAGTGTAACAAAGAAAGGTTGTTGTCCCTGCTTTCCCCCCACCGTAGGATCTGTGTTTTCTTTTCTCTTGCCATCTCTCAACAGAAAACTACGTCGTCAATTTGAAATTCCACTAGAAGTGAAAAATCTCTCAAATCAGAGAACTGGATGGGCAGAATACCCCGTCATTTCTTCCCGATGTAGATCAGTGACATCCAGCTGCTCTCTCTCAATACCGAGGGCTTTTTCCAAAGGGGAACACAACCTCAAAAACTTTTCTAAGTTACACTGACACAGTAACTTTTAGAAGGTGATGAGAGAAAATGCAAAAAGGTATGACCAACATAGAAATTTTGCCGCTAATCAGTTACTTCCTTACAGAATTCCCAACAATCTGCATTATCAAAAATAGGAAGACATAGAAGGCAGCCACTGTATGTAAAAAATTTACAGCTGGCACTGATACAAAAGCACAAGTTCTTAACTTTATACACGGAGATAACACAAGATCTAAAAGCAGGTTAGATTTCCTGTTATTTCCTCCTCATTATACATAGAACTAATATTTTTATGGCTTCAAGTTTCACAAATTCAATGGAATAACATGATGTAACTACCTGTACAGGTACTTAAAAATGTCGATGAAGCAGATCTCAGAACGGTCTGCAAATATTCAAGACCAGCTTAATAAAAATAATTACCAATTCTGTTGGTCTGAATAATGAGTGCAAGAAAAAAACTGTTAAAAAAAAGTCATGAGTTTTCTGGGATTCTTTGTTCCACGTAAGTCTTCAAACACAATGCTTTGCTGTGAACTAGACCTCGGACTGAACAAAATCTTACCTATATCAGCAATTTAAGGCTTTGCGTTGTATGCATTTAAACTTTGTCATACTACGGAAGAATGAAATAGAAAGATTATGTCAGCTGAAACATTAATCCCCATTGGTGTTTTAGCTTCTTTGAAATTCTTGCCCCTAAAACGTCCAAATTCTTTGTACTGAGCATTATAAAATACATCGTGAGTGCTTCCTTGAAACAAATTAAAACAGCATTTCAAAGTTTTTGCTTATTAGAAGTGTAAACTACCCTGGGACTGAGTTCCTGTGGCTTTTTTAACGTTTTCTGTTTTGAACAGGGCACAACTTCTTACAGTTATTATTTCTTTTGTGGATAACATACCCTCAAAATGGCTTCGTGTGTTCATGGGTTTGCATGCTTCTTGGAACTACAAAGTGTTATGGTCTATCAGCTTACAGTACATGGGCCGTGACAATTTTAGAACTGAGAAATAGTTCAGCAACCTAATTTCAATCAAAACAGTATAAAAAATAAACTATCCAATCCTCGCCTCTTTGGATTCCAACAAATTTTAAATATAGACAGTAGTTAAAATCACAAAAGTATTTAAAAATTTATATTTTATGATTTTGGAATAATCTAGTAATAAAAAAGCACGAGCAAATTAAACTCAAATAGGAGCGGTGCTGCTGTCCAGAACTTCTTTATTAGAACATTTGTTTGATACCTCAGTAGCTAAGCTGCCTTTGCACCTGGCTGGCATGAAACAGTGGCTCAACAGTAAACAGCAGTTGCACTATCAGCAGCAAGATTTTCCTCTTGAAACTCGTCACGAACAAAGCAAGAAAAAGAGATAGGGAGGGTAAACCCTGCCAAAAAATATTGAAATACTGCACTGCATCATAAACAGCATGGGTTCTTTCTTTATTTTCCTCAGAACCTTTTTCCCCTCATTTTTGATAGTTGCAGATTGATGTAGTAACTGTCTTTTAGAAAATGCTGAATGCATGGTTAAGAGACCAGGTAGCCTTAAAAATCCGAACACGAATGACACAGATGAATGCTCTTGGTATATCCTTCAAGGACTTCTTTCATGACTTCTTCTTTTGTCTAAGGGTAGCTCCAGCATTAGAGTGCCTGCAGCGGAAGTTAAGTATCTAGCAGTGTTCCAAGTATTCAATCACCCTAGAGATAGATTTCTGGCCTGTTGTTCCAACAGCACACTGGAAAATGTAACAGAAAACACAAGTAACAAACAAGCATTTGTAATACCTCCTTAAAATATCTCAGAGCTCTACTTATTTCACAATGGCGATATTTAGAATTACGTATTAAGCAATTAGGCTTAAGCAGAGGATTCAATTTTCCCGACCAGTTGCCATCATGGAATGAAAGCTTTACTGCCAAAATAATTACAGACAAATGGGCTTTCAATATTTAAAAGCTGAAAATCATCCTGTGCTCTTCTAAGGATGCAAACTGAAATACGTTAAACGCTTCTAAAAACGTGTGGACTATAAACAGAACACACAACTACAAAAATATCTATATACCTCAATTTAAAATGTGTTACTTACAGTAAGATTCATAAAACTGAGAAACTTTTTGAGCATTTCAGTCATTATCGAGAAGTCCCCTTCAGGTAAGTACTCTCTCACAGTAGTCACATTGATCTAAGAAATAAAACAAGCTATTTTAATTCGGGAAACATTTTTCCGACAGAGAACTGTGTTACTCTGTCTGCAGATAAGATGCAATAAGACAAGTACATTCATAGCGTGATTAAGATGGCTTTTGCTGTCATCTCTGTGATTTAAGTCTCTCAAGTAATACTCATGTGTTTGTATTTCTAGGAAACAACAACTGCTAACATATTTCTTTTCCTCATTAGAGATCATTACCACCATCAGACCCAGGACCTACAGGATTATTAAGAACTAAAACCCCCGCCACGTTACTCTCCTGACAGAGAGAATCTCCCTTTATAACTGCTAAGGGTTGAGAATTATTGACCGTGCAGTCAGTACCACTGCAAACACTAAAACTGGATGGAGCTGCTCGGTCAAAAGGTACAGAACAGCGCATTAAAAACATTTCTGCCATCATGGTGAAGCTAAGTAAGCCTGAAGACAGGTCTGGACCTCATTTTCACTGGAGCACTTACTTAACAGGAGAGTTTAAGAAGTTCTCAACTACTAGAGTTCTGCATGTTTACATTTTGACTTCAGCTTTCTGTTATGTGTTTCCAATCTGAGGCAGCCACCTTCAACTAATGTGGACGTACCCAATTTCATGTAACTTCATTAGAGGAAAAAATAAAGCAGACTGATAAAAAGAAGTCTGATGTTAACTTGCTTATTGGAACTGCTGAAAAATAAAGCAAGCTTTTCCAATTATAGAACAGGCAAGCCAATTTGCCTTTGCCTTTCCAAAGTAAGTTCGTTTATGGGCTAAGACTTAGCAGCAGTGGGGAGAGAGGCAGAAGAGGTTAAATATTCAGTTCCAGTCGGTTTCTGGTGAACACATCAATATTCAGAACATTCATTTTGGTGAAACACCTCTGGCAATTTTCCGTGGAACTGCATCCATCGGTGTAGCTCCATCAGAGAACCAGCTCACACTGACCCTCGGTTCAATAAACCCATTTCAGTATTGCAGATTATTAATTCACTAAAATTGTACTGGACTTCAGAGCACGTTATTGACTTATTCCCTTACTGGACTCTCTTGGCAGAGACAGCCTAGAAGCAATGCTGTGTACGAGGCCACAATGCAGTCTTCCATGTGCTTCCCAGCGTGCTGAAGAGCTGTGGAGAGAGACAACCGAGTGTATTGTGTTCTCTAAGCAGCTGCTATCTTCTACTGCTTCAAATACAATCTTGCATTATCACTTCTCACAGTTCTTTTTTCTCAAGCAAAATGAGCTCTTGGACTAAGACTTCAGAGGCAAGAATCAGACAAACTCTGTACTCACTAACTCAGCAACACATTCCCAAGCAGAAAAACGGCGTTCGTTCACTTTCAGTTCATTACATCGTATAGCACTGAATTATTTGCCATTTTAACGTGCAAACTGCATGCTTAAAACACCAAAATACAAATATAATTGTTTCACGTAATACTATAAAGTTTATTAAAGCTTTTTGAAGCTACCACCAGAAGAAGTTTACTGTGTGAAGGGTAACAGATAGAGCACATTTGCTAATGACTCGGCATTTTTTGGCAAACCACAGACAGCTGCAGACCCCAGCTGACAGAGCTACAAATCAGGAGGAAGGATATAAAGCAAGGCTTGAAAGAGTAATATCCCACACCTACTATTAGAGGATTAAAACACAATCAGAAGTCATACACTGCACCGACAATTGGAAGATTAATGAGAAGGACTGGTGTGTCTGACCTTCCAGAGACAAACTACACGACTCTGCTTTAGAGACACTTCGATTCCTGGAACAAACTACCAGAGATACAGCATAGCAAGGCATCGCACAGGTACCTGAGACACCACCAAAGGAGCGAGAAAACTCAGACAACAAAGATGAGGGACAGAGGAAGCATATGTGCAAACAGGGAGGGGAGGAAAAACCCTAGAGGTAACGTGAAACAAGAATAGGTCACAATATCCTGGAAAACACAATTAAGGCAGGTAACTTTCAAGGACTGTTTCAGTAGAACAAGATAAAGGCCTAAAAGCCATCCCTTTCAGAGTATTTCTTACACACAGAGTTCCTAAAAATGGTTCGTTTTGTGGGGTTTGTGGTGGTGGTTTTGCTGTTTGTTGTTTTTTTTTTTTTAAGAAGGAATTGGCAGAAGGTACTATTGAGAAAATGAAAAGTAGCATAACTCCTTCCATTTCTCATGCTTCAGCTCTGAACTGCCCCTACTTATGATCTGTAACACTTTCACATGAGGGATACGCTGAGGAAATCTCAGCCCCAGACACAGGAAGGTAGGAAGCAGAGGACAAGGTGGGAACTGATGCAATCACAAAGTTCTTTGCCTTTTCTGTGCTCACCGCAAGCAGACAACGTACCTTTGTTAAGATCAAGTTCTTCATCATCTTCTTCCTTCTTATCCTTCTCTTCAGTACTATCTGGCTTTTCTGTGGAGACCCACTGAATCTCCCCACTGGTCTCTTGCCATTCCCCACTCTTATCATGCTGAGCAGTAGGAGCTTCTTTAATCAGCTCATCCGTCTGGCTCTCGGCCAGCTGCGCCGCTCGCTCACGCTCGAGAAACAGCTGACGGGGAAAGTTTCAGGAGAACTGCGTTATAAATTAAACTCTAAACACACTGAACTGATACTTGAAAGTTTATTTCCCCTTCTAGCCCTTAATACAGTCAGTCTTTAATACTTTGCTTAACAACAGCCTTTTCTTCTTCAAAGGAAAATACCATTTCCCCCAACACTAACGCTGCTCTCTACAGAGAAGGCCTCTCCCTCCCCAGCGCTGAACCCGCCGCCAGGCTCCTCCTGGGCACTGCAAATGTTTAATTGTTTTCTTTAAGACCCAGCTTGAAGACCAAAAGTTGCCACACTTTCCTGTCTGTTTCTGTTCTCTACCAATCCTCTTTTTTTCCCATGCTTGCTACACCCTCCTTGCTCTCTTGGCTTTTCCCTTGGTATATAAAAAGCAAAAACTTGAAGAAGTAATTTAAAATTACTCATCAAGAATTGTGATTGAACAAGGAATCGCATATTGTGCAATTACATCTTGTGAATTATTTCCCAAATCTTACAATCACCAGTTTTAAATACTTTTTTACTGATCTGTATACATTATTTATTATTATTACTTTTATTGATTATTTTGTTTGTTTGTTTGCTACTGGACAGTTATTTCACGTGGTTAAATGGAGGAACTGCTAAAAGCATCCATAAAATTATCTCCATTGAAATAAACATGCTGTCATTTAAAATACTTTAAATCCTTTTATTTTAGTTTGCATGGTTGAATTCATTAACAAAAACTTTGTTTTAAGTCAATACAACACTCAAGAATGCTGCTTCACGTCCATGTTCATTACATTCGTATTTTATTGCTCTTATAAAGCATGATGTATTTATTTAAAGCTGCAAACTCCCAAAAAGATAGTAATTAAAAAATAATCAATGCAAGTAAAGTATATCAGACAAGAGTAGCTTCCAGTTTTCACAGCTGGTTTAAAACAAAGCTAGAAGTAAGCCATTTAGGAACAAGAAAACTAGAAATAAACTGTAAAGGAACAAGAAAGCTTTAAGGAGTATGAGAGCAGCCTCTGGACACCAGTAATAATGACAGCACTGTCCTGCACCAGGAAGTTCTTTCTGTCACAGACAGAACTGAACAGGTCCGAGCTGTGAGTGGCTCTCCTCCTCCCACACTGTGTTGTATGACTCAAAACACTAAAGATAAAAAATTCTGACAAATCTTCGCTGCCGAGTTCTCCCTTCCCCCTTGACAGGCTGATAATGAGGAATGGTAACTATTACAGGAAACGTGCTTTGCTTACCTGCACTAAAGCCTGAACAGCATCAATCTGTCCCGTTATCTTTAGGCTCTCATCTCCTTCTCCCGTACAGAAGGAGTCAAAAGAACAGGATGTTTCCATATTGACAAGACAGTGCCTGTTCCGAGCACTGTACTCTACCAGATTGATCAACAGACCCAATCCCTGCAAGAATTGGAGAGTCAGAGGATTACATGTGTTAAAAAATGGTAATTGAGCAAAAGACACCTATCCATATAAATGTCTTCTTTAGCCCTTATCTTTCTGAGGATACAGAACTTACTAACACACCTTTGTGAAAGGGTTTGATAGACAGAGGGTTCAGGATTTAAAGAAACGAGGCAGAACTGAGATCCCTGCATGCTAGACATGTATGTAGGAATCTCTGTTTTTCCAGTTCTGAACATTCAGTGCTTTTTAAGGTAAGAATTTATAAATTAGAGATTCAGGTGTCCAACCTTCAGCTTATATTCTTAAGACTCTTCACATACACAATTTCACACTATTGCTTTTTACACCACAGAGACCCATTTTATGTAAGTTGAGCTAAACTTGACAGTGCCTTTATTTCAAGCAGTAACATCCACTCTATTTCTAAAGGTAAAAAAAACCAAAACCATTTGAAAGGTAATTCACAGACTTAAGTAGCTGAATCTTTGTTCCTCTAGCAGTGCACTTTTGCCAGCAAACACAGGGAAAATGGTCAGAGCACAAAACCACCAAATCCTTACAGAAACCTGATTTAAGTTTAAGTTTAAGTACCTCACGGAGTATGGACATGGTCAGTGAAAACTGTGGAGGCTGCTCCTTAATTTACAACTGGAGTGGTTAAATGCACAAGAAAGGCATGATTTCATGTAAATGATTTCATGTAAATGTAGCAAACAACATCTTACCAGCACCCGAATATCAAATCTCTGTTCTTGAGGTAGGAACTTTGGAACCTGAAGCACACAATTCATAGCTGTGCCTATCAGACCATCTTGTTCACCTGTTTTTGTACTACCCCATTCTGTAAACAAAAAGAGTTTAGAGGCTCAGTTTTGAAAGCACTCACTTTCATAGTCACCAGAAGGATAAAAACCTTTTGGCCCTAAAGACAAACTGGACTGTCTTGGCCAAAGCACACACTTCAATATCTGCAATTACTCAGCGAACTCGCAAAGACCAATTACTGATTACTGTAAAGTCAGCATCTCACACACGACTGCTGTACTGCACTGCACACGGGAAAAACTATCAGTATAAAGAGAGTGCACATGAATCATATGCTTTAATACAGAAATTAATTAATTAACATGCACATTTTTGTTTGTTTTACCGTTATCATTTGTTAGGTTGAGCAAGACACCAATGATGGCCCTCATGCAGTCTTCTACTGCTTTACCCACGTGGTTGGTTACATTCTGGTGAGGCAGAGGCTTATTGTCTGGTAAACAGATACTGTCTTCAGCACGATTATACCGCTGGATTAACTCCTCACAATGCTGCAGTGCTCTGCAGAGAGAGGATGCAGAACAAAATTACCTCGACAACATACAGGACATGCCGTCTGTATACTTGTATCACCAGGAAAAAACATCAAATTCAGACCTTATGCACAATTTCTCTGATGCCCAGTCTGTAGGGA